TAAACTCTAGCTATTCGGGTTTTTTCAAAGAAGATTTTTAAGTTTTTGCTATACACATATAAGGAAAATCAATGTCCCCCGGGGTGGGGTCAATTTTGACCCCAGAGCTTTTATTTGAACAAACTTGGTAGACACCCATTAGAAGATGTTTCATGCTAAATATCTTAGCTCTAGCTCTTTGGGTTCTTTAAAAGAAATTTTTATATGTTTTTACTATATGCATATAGGGAAAATCAATGACCCCCTGGGGAGGGGCCAATTTTGACCCAAGGGCTTTTATTTGAACAAACTTGGTAGACACTCATTAGAAGATGTTTCATGCTAAATTTCTTAGCTCTAGCTCTTTGGGTTCTTTAAAAGAATTTTTTTAAAGTTTTTACTATATGCATAGAGGGAAAATCAATGACCCCCTGGGGCGGGGCCAATTTTGACCCCAGGGCTTTTATTTGAACAAACTTGGTAGACACTCACTAGAAGATGCTTCGTACTTAATATCTTAGCTCTAGCTCTTTGGGTTCTTTAAAAGAAGATTTTTAAAGTTTTTACTACAGTAGAACTTCTATGAGTCGAACTTCGATTAGTCGATTTTCTCGATGTGTCGAAGTGAAATGAAAGTCCCGATTTTTTCCCTTATATATTCCTTATAAAAACCTATTTATGAGTCGAGATTTTATGTGTCGAGTTTTTCGATGTGTCGAAGTTTTTTCGTGGTCCGTATAGAATAAATCTAGGACAATTTACCACAAATAAGTCGAAGTTCTTCGGTTATTTTGACACCTTCGATCTCGAGACATTTTCACACCTTTTCTGGCCGCGAAGACGATTTCCGATCAACTTTAGTGACAGGTGTTAATTACACGACCGAGTGTTCAAACGAGTGTTCCGAGTGCCTTTGTATGCCTTTAAATGTGTGAAAAAATGCTTTAATCATTACTATTTTAATTGCAGTAGCGGTATTTGTAAGTACATGTAAACAGTAAGAACTATCATTTGAGCACTTCCGTGACCCGGTGTCGCGTGATAATCACACGCGAAACATTCACTATAAGCTGGTTTAGTTATTGCCCTTTAGTATTGTTACGCCTTTTGTAACTCAACAGGGAGTCCAAATCATTAGCCGTGAAAAGTTACTTAGCATGACATATTTATCATTGTATAATGTAAAATATCAGATAAATGAATTTAAGAAAAACATGAATTACGTTACGTTATAGATCTTATAATTAGGGCTAGTCACGGATTGAAATTTTGTCATGAAATTCAGACCAATTCATGAGTCGATTGAGTCCCGATGTGTCGAAGTTTTTACGCAAGTCCCTCCAACTTCGACTTACCGAAGTTCTACTGTATATGCATATAGGGAAAATCAATGACCCCCTGGGGCGGGGCCAATTTTGACCCCAGAGCTTTTATTTGAACAAACTTGGTAGACACTCACTAGAAGATGTTTCATACCAAATATCTAAGCTCTAGCTCTTCGGATTTTTTAGAAGAAGATATTTAAAGTTTTTTCTTTTGGTTGCCATGGCAACCAGAGTTCTGCATGGAATTAAATTCTTTGAACAATTTTCAAAGGTGACCACCAAAGGAACATTCCTGTGAAGCTTGGATGAAATTGGCTTAGTGGTTTATGAGGAGATGTCATTTAAAGTAAAAGTTTACGGACGAGGGACGAAAAGCGATCACAAAAGCTCACCTTGTCACTTTGTGACAGGTGAGCTAAAAATAAATATTTATTTCTAAATTTAGATTTCCCACTCTATTGCAGATTTCATCTAGTTTTAATACAGTATATTTTTTACCACTGCATAGCAACATCCTTTGGAAGACCAACAATATAATTTGTTGTCAAGAGTTGTTGCTCTTTTAGAAGTTCAAATTACTGGTGAAATCTTACTGATGATATTGCTGTATAGAGGTTATCACTCTCCAGGTGACTGTTGTGTAAAAGGTTGCACTGTAAACTAGATAAATAAAACTTACAACAGCAAAAATACATTGCAGAGTTTCACTAGTTTAAGATTTTTATCAAATGAGCATCTTTGTCTCTGACCTTTATAATCTGTTATTAAACTGTTGGTAACCACATTTACCATGGAAACGCAATGTAAGTAAATATGCCTGTTAATGACATATGTCTTCAGTTTGTTACTTAAAGCAAACTTACTGATTGTGATAATGTACTAAATACTGAAAACTGCTATGCTAAATTTGTTAAATAAACACTTTCTGTTGCTATAGGAACAGACATTTGCAATAAAAAGGAAGTATTATATAATTCCATGTAATAACAGAATATTAGAATCAGCTATTTCAGACAAAAATTAGATTATAGTATCCAATCCAAAATCTTATGTTTTCAAAATGAAAATATTTAGTGTTTTGTGAACACAAAAATGACTACTTAAATGCATTTACAGAAGTAAATTTTACATTGGAATAAGTTATATTTACTTTAATTTTCCTTCAATTTCTTAAATACAAGAAGATTCTCTGCAAGGCTAGTTACAACCTATGCTCAAAATACAATGTGAATATTGACCAAATATAAAGACAGATTTATTTCCATGATGTGGAACTTAAGTGATGTTCCACTGTTTTGTCTTGAATTAAATAACTGTAAAATTCAAATATATGATTTAGAATCACCCCTTACCACAGTTGGTTAAACAATTTGAAAACTTGTAGCGATATTGAATTCTTTCAGTAATTTATAGCTAGCTTTTAGTGGTCAATATATTTTTTTTAAGGCAGAGCTCATACAAATAATAATAATCTGAGGTGTATATTTGAGGTCTTTTTAAGGTCTGTAAAACAGGAAACATGTTATGACCTTGACAGTGATATAGTGGCTTTAATCATTACAAGAAATGACAAAAAAAACAACAGTATACAATATAATTATAATACAAAACTTTCTGATACCAGGCAGTCAGTATCAGTTTTAAAGAATAAACCGAGCACCATTTTGCATTTATCAAGAAATCCGATAATTTTAAATTCAACACAAAGACTACAGTATCTACTGTAAGAAAGTTCATGAAATAAACTCTTTTTTTTCATGGTTTCACATTTTTTTGGCAACACCATCATGTTATAATACTGGTGGTGGACAAGTACAGGTACTAGTCTGAGCATTACATTTATAATTCTATTTCAAGCCATATCACAGTTTTAAAGGTCATTTGGTGACTTTCCAGAGAAAAATCTCAAGAACTAAGCAATGGATATTATTTCTGTCACGAGGAGCACTTGTGTTGAACCATGGTTCTACTGATTGATAGCAGGATAATTTTTGGCAAGAAAAGCACCTCAGAGCAGAACCATGCCCCCCTTCTGTAAGATATTTATTTGGATAGCTTCATCATAGAAGAGAATTCAATGAAACCATAATGTTTTAGTCATTATAATTTGGCCATTGAGGACCACTGCATTGTCATTACGGGAGAGCACATGGTGAGCCTACAAACCTTTCATCATGTACTATATAAAGCTATATTATACCTGAATAAACAGGTGTCAACACTCTAATGGGATTCAAACTTATAACAGCTCCCTTTTCAAATCCTTAACCGTTGAGGAACCAATTACAATTTCAATTCATTACTGTGTTCTCATACAGTGAAATTTTAGGCGAAATTTTACAAATATGTTTTTTTTTATTTCATTTATTTACCAGCCTGGAAAATTTGTAAAGCATCACACTGGCTTGAGTTTTTTGCTTTTTAAAATTTCTATTACATAGATATAATAGAATTATCTTATGCATATGATTCAGATATTATCCACACAGACTAATGTACATTATAATGTACAAATTCTTTAGAATTATGTAACTTCCTTTTAAACCTATTTTCCATAACAGCTGATTCATAAGGATGTAAACTCACATACCATGGTTTTTAATGTGAGAAGTTCAGATAACTTCAGATAATACATGTAAACACAAAGATTATTTTGGTTAATTAAGGTCAGCAGTCCCTGAACATTGTATATAATATAGTATTGTATAGAACTTGCTAGTAAAACTAGAGCAAAGCTGTTTCTTGTTGATTAATTCTCTAAGTTCCAAAAGGGAAATAACTCTATTAAACCTCAGGACAGAGTTATAGGTCTTGCTCAGCTATAACTACAATTATGTCTATAGGAATAAGCATAAAGTTTACAAAAATAAGCAATGCAGTTTTAAGTGAATATCAATTGCATTTGTGGAAATAATACTTTTATAAGCAAAACTTTAAAAAAAGAATTTCCATATTATTTTACTAAGGAAAATAATTCAGCAAAGAACCATCCTAGAGTTATGTGCCTTGGTCATAGATCTGCATTATATGACATTAAATTTTAAAATGATTGTGCAAAAGTTGATAAGAAAATGAGATTGCACACAAAAACCTTAATCAAATGTTGTCATGAAGCTGATGTCTAAGCGAGTAGATTACTTTTGAAATAAGTTTGTGCCTGAAATAATGCACAGAAGGGCACCTGAGGGGTCTTCCTCCACCAGTAAAGCTTGAATGTCGCCTTATGACCTATACTGTGTTGGTAGGATGTAAAACCCAATCAAACAAACCAACCTTAAAATAACCTTAAATAGTAAAGTAAAAATCAATTAACAGACACGACTTTTACAATCAAGGCATTAAATTAACCCTGTAAGTGATTGTTGCAACTCATATAGACCAAGACATGCCTACAAATCTGGCTTTTATTATTTGATATTATAAGTCATACTTATGTATAATAAAAGAAAATCACTTGCTATTTTTCATCAACAAAAGCCAGACATGAAGATTGACCTTATTAAATTACTTCTGATTTCTCATATAGAAATGACAGCCGTCTGAACACCTGAAGCTGCCTGGAAAACAGACAATCCAAGCAACCAAATTTCATTTACCAGAGAAGAGTTGGCACAAATTTAGGACTTTAAAAGGTTATGGCAAACTTTGCTTTTTATGCAAGTGTGTGAAGGAATTTTTCTTGTACATCTCGCTTACCCAAGCTGTTACTATATTTGAGTCTGAACATTTGTCTGCCAATGCCTTGGCACTGACGGTAGTTTCAGCAAGGAAACGATTAGGTCTCTCCATGGCAACCATCTGTATAACACGACCCTCGTACAGATGTGCATCAAAACACGTATTCCATTCTGGATAGATGGTCTTCTTTCTCTGAACCAATTGGATTCCTCGTCCTGAAAATACAAGAAATTAGGAAAAATATAAATGCTTTCCCATCCTAAATTTTGAAAAATCCTAACTGGATTACTTATAATGACAAAATGTAACTTAAAAATTGCACAAAAATATAAATGCTAACACAATCAAGTATTTTCATAACACAGTTACACATTATACACATAAATTAATAATGTCTGCCACCTGTTCTCAAACCATTGAAAACTTAATTTGTCGGAGACCCTGAATTTCATGAGCCTTGGAAGTTTTACAGCACATGTATTAACTTTGTCTGCCTGAAGAAAAAAAAGAAGAAAAAAAGAAAAATACTCAAGGCTAATTATAAATGTTGATAATCAAAATGTTCAAGCTTCAGTCGGGGTTAATAGAACAGTAATTGATATTTCATGTTCCAGCTGATCATAAAACTGTTCAACAATCTCCTCATGAGCAAAACAAAATTCTTTGAACTTTTTTCACCACTGATCATCAAGAACATGTTTTCATGAACTATGGAAGAAAATGTATTTATGAATTATAGGTACACCCATAATTACTCAAAAAACATTAACTGTATAATTATAGTGTGAGATTGTATTCAAGTATTTGAGTCACAGTCAGCCATTTTAAATATCAACACCAGCTTATAACCATTTTCTACAGATAACTAACAACTTCTCCACATAGTGGTGGCATTAAGGCTGAGTGGTTTATGCAACAGTCTAAAATTCTTAGGATTGCTGGATGAATGGGTAGAAACCCCATCAAGGACAGGTTGTTGTTTCCTTTAACAAGAAACTTTACACTCATTGCTTAGTACTGGTTGGTTCCAGAAACAAATATGAGGGTGTGTTGAGCTTCTACACAATCAAACAAAAGATTATAAAATCTCCAAATAAATCATTCAGATATGAGATGACAATTAACTAACGAAGTACAAATTACATGTATCTGCCTTGCCTTCAAGATCTGAAGTAATAAAATCTGAGTTTCTGAATGGTGAATAACTTTGTTCAGCCATGGATCTGAACCCATAAAATACCAAGTTCAATGGTCTAAATGAAATCCTTATTCAATTCAACAAGACAACAGTGTACTATTCTGGAAAATTTTATTGTTATATCCTGAAGATCTGAGAATCATTTAGGAAACATGGAAAATCCTAATATATCATCAAAAGTACAATTGCTGAAAATATTTAGAAAATATTTTGTCTGGAAAATTAATGGAAAAATTTGAAATTTAAGAATGGAAATGGGAATTGCTCAAAACTATAAGGTAATAGGTCTTTGGGGGAGAAACACATTAATAATTCAGTCAGTCTACAAGAAAAATAATTTGCGATCTCAGGAAGACATTACAATATGTCTAAAATAAGGAATGAATTATTTCCTCAATGAAGATCGACACATTGGGAACAAACTTAAAATATCTAACACTTTAGTCAACCTCGGGTTTCTACTATAACATCACTTACATCAGTGCTTAATGATAAAACTATTGTTGATTTTCCAGTCCAGTAGCATAACAGTCTTTCAAAAATTATTTCATTGTAAATACAGAATTTAATTTGAATTTAAATATTTTAATTTATGTAACCATAAGCCAATCTTTAACTTAACTAGAACTGCCACTACCTTGGCGTGAATACCCCCGCATACCACTTTGTCAGAATCAACAGTGGCCATTTAAAGCTCAAGGACAACCTCCCTGCCAAATCTGAGGTTACTAAGCCAGTGCATTGCTAAGTTATGTATTCTACAAGCTTCAAATGTGAAAATGTCAAAATCAATACATTGCAGACAGGACATTCTTTAGCAATTGAGAAGAAAAGCTTTTTTTGTCAAGGTCCCTGTGACCTTGACCTTTGACCCAGTGACCTCAAAGTCAATAGGGGTCACCTTATAGTCATGATCAACATCCATGCCAAATATGAAGACTGTGGGTCAAAGGAATCTTAAGTAAATGGGTGGACAAACTTTTTGAAGTCAAAGTCCCTATGACCTTGACCTTTGATCCAGTGACCTCAAAATCACAAGGGGTCATCTACTTATCATGATCAACATCCATGCCAAATATGAAGACTGTGGGTCATCTAAAGTTATTGGGCAGACAAACTTTTTGAAGTCAAAGTCCCTGTGACCTTGACCTTTAACCTGGTGACCTCAAATTCAATAGGGGTCATCTACTAATCATGACTAACCTCCATGCCAAATATGAAGACAATGGGTCAAAGGAATCTTAAGTTATTGGGGGGACAAGCTTTTTGAAGTCAAGGCCCTTGTGACCTTGACCTTTGACCTGATGACCTCAAAATCAATAGGGGTCATCTACTAATCATGACTAACCTCCATGCCAAATATGAAGACTATGGGTCATAGGAATCTTAAGTTATTGGGCGGACAAGCTTTTTGAAGTCAAAGCCCCTGTGACCTTGACCTTTGACCTGGTGACCTCAAAATCAATAGGGGTCATCTACTAATCATGACTAACCTCCATGCCAAATATGACGACTGTAGGTCAAAGGAATCTTAAGTTATTGGGCGGACAAGCTTTTTGAAGTCAAGGCCCCTGTGACCTTGACCTTTAACCTGGTGACCTCAAAATCAATAGGGGTCATCTACTAATCATGACTAACCTCCATGCCAAATATGACGACTGTAGGTCAAAGGAATCTTAAGTTATTGGGCGGACAAGCTTTTTGAAGTCAAGGCCCCTGTGACCTTGACCTTTAACCTGGTGACCTCAAAATCAATAGGGGTCATCTACTAATCATGACTAACCTCCATGCCAAATATGAAGACTGTAGGTCAAAGGAATCTTTAGTTATTGGGCGGACAAGCTTTTTGAAGTGAAGGCACCTGTGACCTTGACCTTTGACCTAGTGACCTCAAAATCAATAGGGGTCATCTACTAATCATGACTAACCTCCATGCCAAATATGAAGACTAAGGGTCAAAGATATCTTAAGTTATTGGGCGGACAAGAAAAAACCGACGGACGGCCGGACAGCCGGACGGCCGGACGGACAAGCTGATTCCAGTATACCCCCTTACAACTTTGTTGTGCGGGGGTATAATTAATATGTGACCATTGCAGAGCCAATCTTTAACTTAATTAATGTGACCACTGCAGAGCCAATCTATGGAGTAAGACCTGAGACACTTCAAATTGTGGAGTGTCTTACTTTCAGAATTAGATATTGCAGAAATAGAACAGATACAAACGATTTTAAGTATAGTAACCCTCCTAAAATCTCAATCAAGATATACTGAAATGAAAATTACAGGATATATCCCAAGTTTATTTAAGATATTATATATCCAAAACAGTGATTCTATCGCTCAATAACATCACTGTTTGGAGTTCAAATGTGAGGAATTATATCACGAAGGCGTAGCCCAAGTGTTAATAATGATGAGCATCTGAACGACAAACAGTGATGTTATCAAGCGTAAAAATCACCGATTTGGATATATTAATCCGATTCTAACACAGCATCAACAAATAAATGCTGCCGTACCTGATATTAAGCTAAATTGCGACTGATTTGTTTCCGTACTTATTTTCAGCGCATCGCATTTTTAGTGGTTACGTTATGTGTATAATGATTAAGTCACATGTCTAAATATAAAACATCAACAGTGATTTTATTGCATAATAACACTCACTTTCGGTCCTTCTATGTTCAATAGGGAAAAATGCAGGTTGTGTTAGAATTTATTATCAAAATTCCTTTTGCTTGTAATTTACTTTATTTTATTTTTTGAATTAATATAGATAGAATACTATTAATAAAATGCATGCATTTTCAGTTATTTAACAATTATTATCTATGTGATATACGGAACTCACGACAGTTAATCGAACAAACTTTATTTTAGCTTTTATCATATTAATAATATACTAACACAAGCCCATAATGTGCCAATACATAATACAATATCATTATCTCCTACATTATATATATATATTGCAGAAAATCCTTATTAACATGATATTCAAGCTCTGAGAATACAATCCAATCTAAAATATTTTTCTCTCCATCACTGCCCCCCCCCTTCCTCCCCCCCACCCCAACATTACCAATCTGATAGCTGCCGCTGTATGTTTGCTGCAAACTTCCTAACTGACGTCTGCTGCAAAATTCCCTTAGGGAACAATCAGATGGCAGCAAATTGACATTCATGTAGATATATGGATATGTTATGACAATAGGTTGTCTTCTGACAATACTGCCTGAACATAATAATCACCGAAAATATTGGAGAAAATACAGTGATCCAGGCCATCGAGAGAATAGGATGGGTATCGAGAGAGTAAAGCTCGGAAAATTGTTCTGATGTCGTAGTCATATTTTCTCTAATTACTTTTTGTGTCACATGAATCTATTAACCTTTTTTCATCATACACTATAGACATGAGTCTTCTTTTTTCCAAATTTCATACCATACTGTTTGTACAAGATTTCTGAAGAGATATTTTTGTGATATTTTTTCATAAAGGAGCTCCATCAAAATACAAAAGCCTTAAACAAGATTTTTAATTATTAGATAGATCAACTGGGACACTTAAAAACTGAAAATCCAAGTATGTAAAATTATGATGAATATATTTACTTAAGATACAAATTAAAAGTTGATTCTTTTGTGATTATAAAGTAGTTTTGAGTTAAAAGTCCAGAAAATTGCAGTCAATAAAAACAATTTTTCTGAAGAAGAAAAAAAAAACATGTCAACATGGCCATCCCCCGCCGAATGTGTTTGCTCATTGGAAAAATGTATATGTAGTAGAGCAGAATAATTCCATTTTAAGAGGTCTTTTGGTAATGAAAACTGATGGCTATAGTGATTACAGATTTGAAACCTATGTAAATACTGATGGCTGAAAATAACAAAGGGCAATAACTGAAAAAAAATGCAGGGTAGGTTATCATTCTTGTGTGCTGCATCCCTCCTCAGTAAAATCTATCCACCTATGAAGTTTCAAGTTGATACCTCAAATACTTTTTGAGAAA